TTCGTCGTCGCCGGAGGGTCGGCGAAACCTACCCCTGCAGAACCCACCCCCTTCCACGGCGGGCGGCGCGGCCGTGGCTGCGACGGTGGCGGCGTCGGAAGGGCTCTGATGCTTGAAGGAAGTGCGGCGCCGTGGCGACGTAGGAAGGTCGTTCCACAATCGCTCGGGAACGTAAAGAAAACTGAAAGACTGACATATCGGGCAGACAACTTCGGTCGGGGATGGGAACCCTTTCGGCCGATGAAAATGCAGAAAATGGCGACGAAACTTCCCAGCCGATCGAGCGCGAAACTGGGCAGAAACGCATTTTAGTGTAGTGTGATATTGGGGTTAGAGCGTGAACTTGCGAATTTTCGTTTTGAGGCGGGATTTGCTAAGTCATTTTTGAGTTTTTTAGTACTTTTTAGTAATAATAGTTCAATAATGTTTCTATTCACATTAGTATTTAGAATAAAAATCCCCCCAAAAATAGTTTTATATATTTTATTAAAGTACATTGGAGATGCTTATTTTTGATAAAAAATTGAGTTGGTTGTATTTTCGGGGCTAAAATTCAGTTTGTGATAGGATTCGTTCGCACACGCAGATGCGTACGATTCGCGTGAGTATACGAGGAGAAAAAAAACTTGTGGTGCAAACAGGAAGGAAAAAAAATGGTTGCTTTCTCGGGGAAAATTACGAAAATATTCACGAAAACTTCGTAAGGAATATTTTTCGCATAAGATGGGTTGGCTCCATAATACGCGTTGGGTAGACGGAAGGGTGTTTTAGTTAACGTGAGGTCAGAGTTCCGCCCTCAACGTTGAACGGGGTAGAGAAGCGTCACACTCCACGGGAAAATTCCTCAGCCGCGCACATTGTGATTCGCATAAAATGCGTGGGTAATTATGCGTTGGATAGACCAAATGATGTTTTATGTCAACGCGAGAACAGAAAGCCCGAGTCTCGTTCTCAACTTGCAACTGCATAGCGAAGGTCTCTTTCCGCCTAAAAGTGCATCGGCTTCGCACGCTGTGGTCGCGTCGCAAGTGACTCAGCCTCGGAATTGACAGCCCGCGTGAACGAATCTTATCACAAACTTGCATTTCTGCTATTTTCCGTGAGTTTGTGGTGGTGGTTGAATTGTTTTAATTCTCAAATGGCAAATGAAGAGTGGACAACGCAGTGTAAACTACAAGTGCTCGTCAACTCTGTATCTTGATTTTTTTTTTTTTTTGCCGCTACAGGTTTTTAGCGCTATCTCTCTTCCCATTGATGTTTATTGTAACGAGAATGTGTCTCGCTTTGCCGTTTCCGTTCCCGGAATATTTTGGTGCTGGCCCAAGTCGGAGGCTCCGCTGGTCTCCGTAAGTCTTCTCTATGAATATTACGCCACGCCC